AGGGCTTGGAAGAAGGAAGCTTTTGCTCTTTGCCTACTTGTCCTTGCCTTGATAGTGGGTCCATTTCTTCATTGGCATTGGAGCCTATTTCTTTGGGATTCCAGTGTACACCGAAGACCAACGGAGACATCCAGCCTCATGGCCCGAGAAACTACTGAATTCTTGGCTTTCCATTCACAGACAGGCCATCCTTGGATTAGCGGGACTGCAGTCTGTAAATCATTCTAATAAATTCCCTTTCTATATATACACCGAGAGAAATTCATTCTGTAAGTGCTGTTACTCTAGAGAACCCTGACTAATACGCCCCCCAAAGGCTTCCTAGTCCATGTTGCTACTGAGAGGTGAGAGAAGTCTTAGTAGGGAGGGCTAGTGGAAGGAAATTAGGCAATCGAGGGCATTCTCTAGAAGGTGGTATCAGGCCCTTTCTATCTCTTTGCTTCCTGGTTGCTTCCTCTACCATGAGTTCCTGCCATGACCCACTGTCTTGCCATAGGCTCAAAGAAATAAGGCCAAACATGGGTAATGTCTGACACAGTAAGCCAACACATGTGTGATGCTATGTCAACTGTCTAGTTTACCCTAGTTTTCTGATTTCGGGTTTAGTTACTTAATAAGATGAAATCACAGCCTGGAGGTCCAGACCTAATTTTTATTCTCTTCCCAGGTCAAACATCTTTTATTGTCCAGATGCAGTACAAAACAAAACAACCCTCCCCCCCAAAAAAACCCCAATAAATAATACTGAGTGCTCTTGTTATGTGTCCAGGCAAAATTCAAACAAAAACTTCCCAGCAGCTAATAGGGAACACTCTTCTAAGTGAACTGAGTGTGGGAACCGAAATAGCCCCGTTCCCATTACACTCTGAAGTCAAATCAATTGGCTGTGACAATGGTAAGACCTCAACTATTAAAGCCAACTAAGGCACTGGATGATTAAACCTTTATATATAAAGGAACAATAATCCAGAAAAATAGAATTAAAATAGTCTGCTAGCAGAAGATTGCTAGCATTCTTTCAACAACACCGATGAGATTTGGAATGATTACAGCATTGAGGATAGTTTCAGAGAACAACAGGTAGGTGTGGTGGACAGGTGGTTCACCTTCAAGACTCAAGTCTACTTAAGAAAAAAAAATGATCTCACTAGCACTAGATTCTAGCTCCTGTTTTCAGTTTCAGAGGCGCTGCTACAACCCATGAGAAGGTCTGCAGTGCATGTAGCATACAGACCCTACACCACAGAGGCTCCCCTGACTACACAAGTCTGGTGACATACTGGTAGAGCTGCTCCGCAAATACGTCAGCAGAAAACTTCTCTGCCACCCTGGCTTTTCCAGCCAGGCCCATCATAACTTTTAAGGATGGTTTGTGGATGAACTTCTCCATTGCTTCTGAGAAGTGTACTGGGTCAGGCTCACACAGAAACCCTGTGACCTTGTGGACGACAGTCTCCAAGGGCCCACCTGAATTAACGGCGATGACTGGGCACTGCATGTACATGGCCTCCAGAGGGACGATGCCAAAGTGCTCATTGCTGGGGGTGTAAAGCACACACAAGCAACCGTGGAGGAGTGAGATCTTCTGTCTGTCTGAGAAGGACGGCAGGAAGGTCACATGGCGCTCAAGGTCTGACTGCTGGACTATTTTCTTCAACTCCCTATAGTGTTCCACGTTCTCCAGGATTCTATCGTCATAACCACCAGCCATGAACAGATGAACCCTCTCCCAGTCTTGAGATGTCAACCGTCCACGAAGCTGGACTAGGGAGCTCAGAGCCAAAGGCAGATTTTTCTTCCTTTCAAATCGGTTGATAGAGAGGAACAGGAACTGTTTCCCCTTGGGAACTAGGTCATCTATCTTCTCAGGAACAGCCAAGTCATAGCTGCCGATGTTCAGAGACGGGTACAGGATATCAGGATTTATGTGAGACAGACTCTTGAAGGTTTCCTTAAAGACAGAAGCTGTGTACTGGCTGTTGACCAAGATGCGGTCTGCCATGCCTGTGGTGTATTCCTCGATCCAGTCAATGGGGGCCCTGTAGAACCGCTTCAGAGTTGAATTTCTCTTGGAAAGCAGCAGATCTGGGAAGTGACAGTAAAACAGGACCTTCTTCCGCCGTCTGGCCAGTTTGAACACTGGGATACAGGCGGACACCTAACCAGGGTAAAACCAACAACAGTAGGTGAGTGACTGGCCACATCAACTGCCATGGCCACAGTCTTTTCTTGGTTACAGCCCAGCTGCCTGGTATTACGGATTCATAGGAGTTGGGTAGTAAATGTCTATATTAACCATGAAGATACAGTTTCCTCAGGGTGCTTCAGTGCAACTCAGGATCATAAGTAAAGAAACCCCAGAGTAACTGTGGCTATCTCCACCTGTAGGCCTGGTTAGAGAACAATGGCTGGTAGCATCCACTGCGGATAAGAGCATGGGGTAGTCTATAGTACAGACTGTGGGAGAATAAAGTGTGGATAAGAGCATGGGGTAGTCTATAGTACAGACTGTGGGAGAATAAAGTGTGGATAAGAGCATGGGGTAGTCTATAGTACAGACTGTGGGAGAATAAAGTGTGGATAAGAGCATGGGGTAGCCTAAAGTACAGACTGTGGGAGAATAAAGTGTGGATAAGAGCATGGGGTAGTCTATAGTACAGACTGTGGGAGAATAAAGTGTGGATAAGAGCATGGGGTAGTCTATAGTACAGACTGTGGGAGAATAAAGTGTGGATAAGAGCATGGGGTAGTCTAGTACAGACTGTGGGAGAATAAAGTGACACCTTTGAAAGGCAAATTTGGAAACTGCTACTGACAATTACAATGACATTTACAATAACATTTACATTTACTACAACCCACAACTCCCCCCACCACCCCCAGGAGTTTCCTCAGAGGACATGAGTAAGAAGTGAGATTAGTATGAGGATATCACATCTAGTGCAGTATGAGAATGCCACATCTAGTCACACACACACACACACACACACACACACACACACACACACACACAACAAAACAAAACAAAAACTAGTGGTAATGTTAGTGTCCTTTAGGGAAGATGGAAACATTTATGGTATATTTAAATAAAGGGGACTTTCCAGCCACTTAAGAGACTGATGTGGATCTTGAATACCAATAAGGATGGACGTCTCAATTTTTTGCAGAACAAAAAGCAAAGTGTCCAACAGCAGGTAAATTGAATTACAATTATGTACAAGTAAGATGTAGCTAGAGACAGACATATATGCTACAAGCAGCCACACATCGGTTCTGGAAGGATGCAAAGAAACTTGACAGTGGTTCCCTCCTCAAGAAGGGGCACAGGGGACTTTTACATTATACTTCTTATTTGAACTTTTATTCCTAAGTAAATGTTACTTCTCAATTAAAAAAAAAATGTGGGGCCGAGGAGTTGGCTCTAGGCGGTAAGTGGGGATCTAAGTTTGATTCCAACTGCCCATATAAACCCAGGATATGGCAGTGCATACTTGCCCGAAAGTCTAGCCAAATCTTTCAGTTTCAGGTTCAAATGAGAGATTCTGATTAAATGTTCAGGCTGCAACTGACTGAGACAGATACCTGACATTGATAGTTTTCACACCCAAGCTCAGACGCCTGTATAGACACAAAATATACCCACCCATCTCCCGCCAGTCTCCAAACCCTGAGTTGTAAAAAGCACCCTCGAAACAAGTCTAGTATAGCTACAGGGCAGACTGGATTGAATGCTATTTACCAAAAACTCCGACTTCAATCCAGTAAGGTGGCTTACATTGTAAACCCAGCACCTGGGAGGCCAGCCTGAGACCACTAAGCAGGGACTTTTATTGTGAGACCACAATAAACCGGGACTTTTCTCCGAGACCAATGGGGACAATGCTGACGTTTTAATGCGGACATGATATGTTTAGCTTGACTTTAATCCATGTCACTGCTAAGTACTGGAGTGGAGGGATTAGGAAGACTGGAGAGGGTGGGATGGATGGGACCTGGAAGCAGAAACGGTAAGAATAACAGAGAACAAACGGAGTTGGATACAAGGAGTGACAGCAGGTGACTTTCAATGCCAGCGTTCCTTGGAACGAACCCCTGGGCCCAACTACCTTAGTCTCAGGACGAAGCATTTAAAATGCAGGCACATGAGCCCTATCACAAGGACCTTCAACGAAAGGGGATGCGGGGGGGGGGGGGGGCGTTCCTGCGATCTGCCACTTTAAAGGATCCATACTAAAACTGGAGACCGTTCTCTCCCTGGGGACTCCTGCTGGACAGTTCCAAAGATCCTAGAACAGAGGCCCCTCCCCCGGCCAAGACTCGGTGGCCGCCTCACCTGGTCGCACACCACCACGTCGAATTCCTCGCCGGAGAGAAACAGCACGTAGAGCGCCAGAAAGACCATGCGCACGTAGGCGCAGATGGCGGCGCCGCGGCCGCCCCAGCCCAGGCTGCGGGGCAGCCAGTCCCCGGCGCAGTGCACCGACAGCTCGCGGGTCTCCAAGAAGCAGTGGTTCGGGTTGTAGTGCGCGGTCCATATCTTCACATCACATCCGCAATCCTGCAGCGCCAGCGCCGCGTCCAGCACGAGCCGTTCGGCACCGCCCACGCCCAGGTCCGGGTGCAGGAACAGCACAGACGGGGGGTACACCCGGGCCCGGGCTCGGCACAGGTTTTCGGCCATGGCAGCCCAGCCGCGCCTGCTCCCTGCGCGCGAGCTTCTGCAATCTCCGCCCCTGGCCCAGCGAGCCACTGAAAGCCGACCCAGCCCTGTTACGCGTGCGTCAGTTTAGGACACATCAGCGGCAAGCGTGTGGGTGCTAAGAAAATGCCTGACTAAATTTCTCGCGTGAACGTGCCTGAAGCTTTTCGTTTTGGTGATATTGGTCCCTGTGAAAGACGCTGAGATCAAAGGAAAGAAGCTAAAGGCCTGGACTTTTTCACACCGCCCATTTGTTCTCAGACAGTTTTTACAGGCATATCCTTGGACAGCTCAGGCATCCAGAGTCTGCGAAGACCCTGCCAGCCGGCTGGGGGCGGTGCCAGAGTCTGTCTCCGCTAGTGCTCTGAGTGCTCGGCCACTTCCCGACTTTCCTCTTCCGCGCTTCCTGTGCCCGCTGTTCTTCGGTATCAGCATGGTGAGCGGGTCCTCGCTTCTCCACAGCGCGCTGGCCCTTGCCTTGGTCTCCCTCCCTTTCCGGACACCCCCCCCCCCCCTGCTTTTCCCAGCTTCCCGGGTGGGTGCGGGGTCGGGGGTCTGAAGAGGGCCAGCGATGCTTGCTCACAGTCTGCTTCTCTCTGCAGCCGGGTCCGACGCCCAGTGGCACCAACGTGGGCTCCTCAGGGCGCTCTCCCAGCAAAGCGGTGGCCGCGCGGGCGGCGGGATCCACGGTCCGGCAGAGGTAAGGACCCCGGGGGCGGTCCCGCTGCAGGGTGGCAGAGGTCAGGGTCCCAGGAATTCACACTGCGGGATAAAGTTCCGGGATGGGAAGATTGACAGGGGCTGGTGAGCCCGAGCTGACGTGGCCATCCAGTAGTTCAAGGCCCTTTAGGAGGGAAGCGTCGTTTTCCTCTCCTTGATGAATTGCACGCACCACTTTAGTTAAAGGGAAGTTAAATTAGACTAGGGTCGCTAACAACTTTGGGAAAGGCGATGGCGTAAGGCTGGTGTCTCTGGGGCTTTACCTTTTAGACTTACATCAGGAGGTCCAATACACATTCAGTTTAACAAAATTTGCTTTACACAACAGCCTGTCACCCTAGTTCCTCATCCCCAGCTGTTTCTGTGTCTTTCTTTTTGGATGTGTGTGTGTGTGTGTGTGTGTGTGTGTGTGTGTGTGTGTGTGTGTGTGTTGTATGCACATGTGTATATATGTACGTCTTGTTCTTGCCTGGTGTCATCGGAGGTCAGAAGAGCACATCAGATCATCTGGAACTGCAGTTATGAATGACTGAGCCACCATGTGAGTGCTGGGGACCGATTTGGGGTCCTTTGCAGGAGCAACAAGTACACTTAACTCTGAGCCATTTCTCCAGCTTCAGGGTCTCCTTATTTTTAAATGTCACTGCTATACACTTATTTACAGAAAACCAGAAACTCCAGTCTTTTTGTGTGTGTGTGTCTTCTCTATCCAGTCATATGCCAGGCTTCAATGGAAGACCTTCTCGGTCCTTCTCTTCCTCCATTTCTGTCGATCCAGTTTAGCCCTCAACCTCTTGTACTTTGCATTTCTACCACTGTCCATCGTCCAGCCTGCTGTTACTCTCCCTCTTGGGTTTTCTATAGATTGCTGGTGCCAGCATGTTAAAAAAGGAGCCTGTGGAGGAACCCTGGGGCTCTCCTTCCTCTCTCCTGTCATCCAGCAGTTCTGAACTTATTACCATTTTCTGAGCTCCATATCCTCATTAGGTCTGCTCTCTTCTCAACTGTTTATTTAGTTAGTTTCTTTTTAGACAGTGTCACGTAGCTCAGGCTTGAACTCATAACCATCCTGTCTTCACCTCCCAGATGCTAGGATTCTCGTATTGTTAATAGTATAAAACTATTTATGTTTACATGTTCGTCTCCTCTGCTTTGACAGAGAATCTGCCCAACTCCCCAGTTCCTGTCTTAAATCATGCCATAGTAAATGTTAACTGAAGGAATCAAGTCAATCCTATTGTTGTGTTTTTGGAACACCTAGAAAGGCATTTTTCTAGAGAGGAGTAGACCTTGAAAACTTGAAGGGATACTTAAAATTATCCTTAAGAATGTGAAGAGGAAGGCTTGGGGACACAGTGTGTATAGCTCAGTAGTGGAGAGCTTGCCTAGCATGTGCAAGGCCCTGGACTTGCTCTCTAGTACCACACACAACACAGCACAAACTACAACAAAAGAAGACAGGAAGGACTTTTCTTGTTGACTGTGTAGGGAAATCTAAATCTTCGCAATCAGTTTAGACTAGTTGGTTTGAACACGCGCGCAACAGAGAGCAGCTCAGAGAAGGAAGTTGTGATAGAACTGTCCGAAACGATGAGATGATTCTGAATGACTGTGAGTGTTCCCTCACCAAGATACCCAAAGGAAGTGTACTGGCTTCCGGTGTAGGTTGTGTGGACCTGGGGCCTCGGGTGCTAGCTGGGGTTTCAGAGACTCTTTGTGCTAGTCTTGTAGGTATGGATAGTTCCTTGGGGATAAGTTTTTGTTCGAGAGGAATTAATAGGGAAGTTTGGCCATATGAGAATTTTTAAGGAACCAGAAGGCACTTATTTATAGAATTGTCGAAGTGTGATAAGTAAAAATGAGGCAATCAGTGCCTAAGTGTTTTTAAGGTTATAGACATGGATGGTATCTTTTAGGATGTAGTATTGTGGGACCAGTGAAATTAGACAGCCTGTGGCTATATGTATGGAGAGACTACAAAATTCATTCTAGAAACTTGTTTCTGGTTAGATAATTGTAATCACTGTTGGCTGTCTGAGAATATGTCCATTCTTTGAGAAGAAGTTGAAGCTTATGGTTAGTGATGCTTTGAACTATGTAGTGGGCAGTTTGTATCTCTCTCTGAATGAAGTAACAGTAGTAGTAATCCTCAGAGAAGAAGTGTGTAAGATTTAAGGTTAAGCTGGAGTTGGAGTCCTTGATCTGCATAAGACAGTGGAAAGTGAAGCAATAACTGAAGGAAGCTGGGGGAGGTGAGGATAGAGTGAGGGTGGATAGTTTGGATGGGGTGTTCAGGGTGAATGGCTCATGAGTAGAGACCCGTGAGGGAGCTAGTGACACTGTGGTCTAGGGAGGACAGGCTGTCTAGGCAAAAGGAGCAGTCAGTGTGCAGATAGGTCAGTGAGCTGGGGTTGTTCCACCAAGTGCCAGCAGCCAGAGCAGTAGAGCAAAGCATGCACAAGATTGGGGTGAACGGCGCTTTGTTAAAGTGCAGCAGGAAGGTGTAGCCTCCACTGAAGAGAAGACATTAGGGTGGGCTCTGTTAGGCACCTCAGCTAGCTTCCCAGATAAGGTAATGAGGGGCATGGTGAGTGCAGTTTGCTACCTCCATGGACCCTGGTTTTCAGATCTTCTTCTCTGTCCCATTGCCAGCAGTGGAAGTAAAAACAACAGCAGCAACAACAAATCCCTACTGATTTCTCTAGGGATCTTGAAATTCCAGCTTTGAAGACAGCTGTATTCAGGGATTGTGCAGATCGTGGCAAGTGTGGGGTTGTGGTTGTGCCTCAGGGGAGAACTTCCCTTGTGGACACTGGGGTTATCTTTGGGCTCAACTCCCTTGTTATAGGTGGAGATTCCAGGTCGCCACCCTCCAGATGGAGCCAGGCCTGCGTGGAGAAGCTTTCTAAGCATGAGTTACTCTGCAAACCCTGTACATCCTTTTTGCTATTTTCAGTCAGTCTTCCTACAGAAGCAGTCATACATAGATTTGTCTGTTTCCAGGCTACTGTAGCCCGTAACTGATGTGTCTGAAATGTCATTCTCTAGCAGAGTAGACCCACATCATTGGTACTGACTGCCTTCAGAGTCCTGTCTTGGGCATAATTGAAGCCAGACTGGAACCAAGGCTCTATTCCACTCACGCGGTAGGGTGAGCTCATTTAGCTGTAGACAGGATTTCTGCATTCAGACTGTCATGCCAAGACATGTTAGGGTGAGGTGGCTTTCGGACTGATCAAGAGTCAGCAGCCCCACACAGGAATGAGATTTTACGGGAGAGAGTATTGGGATTTGGTGGGGCAGGGCATTCTCCGTTCTTTTCCCACCCCCGACACTTTTGGAATAATGATAAATGGCTGAAAGGATTTCTTTTGGATTCTCTTCTTGCCACTTGCTGCCCAGGCCCATTCTTGCCCATCCTAGCACAGGGCTAGACAATCCCCCTTGCTTCCAGGAGGATAGTTGCTAGGAGTCCATGTCTTTTGTCTGTTCTGTCTGCCCTGATGGCTCCATGCACCAGCTCCATCCTTTTGAAAAGGACAAGGTCTAGTTACGTGTATTTCCTGCTTTTCACATCCTGCCCTTCTCCAGGACTGATGGCCAGTATATCAAAATAGCTCAAGTACATTTCAAAGTACTCATTTATCATGTGCATTCTCCGTTTGGAGGACCTTGATAAAATTAAAGTTTATTGCTTTTTCTTACTTTTTGCAGCCAGTACAGTTATTTTAAGCCATCTTTTAAAGTAGTCTTTTCAAAATGAAGTTACAGATTAAGAGCATTTATTATTATTTATTATTAATAGGGGTTTATTAGTTTCACAGACAGTTCTATGAAGACAAACTGAGGTGCACCGTCCATTGCGAAGGCTGGATGTTGTAGGCAGCAGATGGGCTCTGGGGCCAGAACTGGGTTCACATGCCAACTTAGCCATTGCTTATCGGTGGCAAAGGCAGTACTGGGCACATTGGCCATGACAGGTAGTACTCAGTCTATAGAGTGGAAGATCAGAGAGGCAAAGGTAGGGTTTGAGTTTATTTTAGTAAGGTTTTCCTTCTTACAGGTTGCTTTTTTAAAAGCCTGTATACTATACGCATATGTTATTAAAAGGCTAGTAATGATATTTTTATCCCTTTCAGAAAAAATGCCAGCTGTGGGACTCGGAGTGCAGGCCGCACCACCTCTGCAGGGACTGGGGGCATGTGGCGATTCTACACAGAGGATTCCCCAGGGCTCAAAGTGTAAGTCGTGGAGCACATGTGTGGGGTGTCTGTCCTGGTGACTGAGTGTGTGGGAGCTGCTCTGACAGGGTGCATGGAAGCTGCGTTTGTGCCAGCTGGGCTGGGGCTGGCTTCCTGTTCATCAGCTGATCACACAGGTGAGGACGCTGAGTGACATCTGGGGGTGACTGAAAGGAAGAGAAGAGCCTCTGTGGCTGTGTCAGGGTAAATGATGGGCACAGAGAACTGAAGGGGGGAAGCTGCTTAATTAGAGGAGATCTCTCTTCATTTGGCCCTCCTGCCCCACACTGAGAAATGGGAGGAGCCATTTGAATGGGAATTGGGTGATTTTTCAAAGTTGCCCTGAGGTGGAAGCTGATGTTGCTACAGCCTAATGGAAATTTCCCATTATGTTGTGTTACCCAAAGTTCCTTGGCTTCCTTGCTGTGGGAGGGTGGCCAGCAGACCCAGGAGGGTGACTGCATCACTTTCCAAGCTGATGAGAACTGACTGTACAGGCAACTTCTATCCTGTACTTACCTCTTAGGCCAGGGTGTCTGGTACCATAACACCCTTTTCTGCTGTTTCCTGAGTGAAGCATTTGCTGTTTTGAGGAAAACTTAGTATCTTTTCTGTTTTGATCTGACCAGCAGCCCTGAGGTAGGAGCTGAGCCGTTTTGCAGATGAGGAATCTCAGGCAGTGAGGTACTCAGACAAATGACAGGAGGCCCACACCTTCCCTTATTGCCTGTCTGGTAAAAAAAGAGACAAAAATGCAGATAGTTTAATCAACTTGGCTTATAGATTTAGCTTATGAAGATTTTCCTACAATCTGTGGGATTTGCTTTAAATCATCTGTTGAATTTTTTCCTGATACATTTTTTTTTTTTCTTTTTGGGGCTGGCTCCTACTGTGTAGCTAGGCTAATCTGGAATTTACCATCTTTCTGCCTTAGCCTCCTGAGCACTGGGATTACAGATGCCTGTGACCATGCCTAGCTGGTCCTGTCTCCCTCATCCCCCAAGTGTGTTGGCAACTTGTAAGAATGTATTTAGGGAGCATGTATTTGGGAAGCAGTTCTTCGGCTGAGGGTTTGTGAGCTGGTAGCATTCTGACAGCCTTTGATGATTGTTAGAGGTGATTTTCTTAGTGTTGAAGGAGGAGCCTTGTACTCCCTCTTCCTGGTGGCCCTGGAACTCATTTTAAATTTCTCAGAAAGCTGGGAAACCCTTGTTTGGGCAAGTCTGACTCATGCTTCCCTATGAGTCCTTCAGTGGTGCTGCTCAGGCCCTCCCAGAACTGGTAGAAATTGTCCTTTGAAGTTTCATAAGCAGTATCCCAATCATAGCAGAGAAATGTGCTTCGATGAAAGGACACAGTTGAGAATTCTGCCTACAAATCTACCATCAGCCAACACCTGAGCTTGTTTTGGGCTCATTCTGGGGATTTAGTAAGATATTCAGGTTGATAATAATATTTCCTGAGAGCTGGCTGTGAATCTGCCTGTGTGTGTCTGTAACTCAAAGGTGGATTCCATACTAACCTTCTTACAGATGGGAGACAGACTTGAAGGTAAGGAGTGGGCCACAGGCAAACTTGTGAGTGACAGGCATCCACACTCTGGCCCTCGAGGGCTGGATCCTCAGCTCTGTCCCCAGTGGTGCCTGGCAGTAAGGGAGGAAGTTCAAGTGTAGCGTGGTGGTGTTTCCTTTCATAGCCTTGTAAATTTACTTACTCTTTAATTGTACAAACTTTAGACTGATGTAGCAGAGACCTTCCTTGATCTCTACTGCTCCTTCACCCTGGGTCCTGATAGTGCCTTGATGCCTTTTCTGGAATCTCTGCTTCTACTCTACAGTTGTATCTGGGAGGTGAAGTGAGATGTATTGAATTCCTCAAACCTGGTGTGGGCAATGTTTACAGTTGTGTACAGTCAGAGGTCCTCCCATTAAGGAACATGTAAGCCACTGGGCGGTGGTGGCATACGCCTTTGATCCCAGCACTCGGAAGGCAGAGGCAGGTGGATCTCTGTGAGTTTGAGGCCAGCCTGGGCTACCAAGTGAGTTCCAGGAGAGGCGCAAAGCTACACAGAGAAACCCTGTCTCGAAAAACCAAAAAAAAAAAAAAAAAAAAAAGAAACATGTAAGCCAGTTCTCTATAGGAAAAGCATTTGATTTAAGGAAGGACAATGAGGGAAATCTATTCCCTTTCTACACTAAGCCCATGAATACAAGTCAACAGTGTACACTGCCTGGAATGTGGTGTTAAGATTAGAAATTTACTAGGCGGTGGTGGCGCACGCCTTTAATCCCAGTTCTAGGGAGGCAGAGACAGACGGATCTCTGTGAGTTCAAGGACAGCCTGGTTTCAGTGTGAGTACTGGGACAGCCAGTTCTACATAGAGAGACCTTCTCTTAACAAAACAAGCAAAAAGAGAACTTATAGGAGGTCAAATGAGCCTGATGGGTGCAATCAATGAGGCCAAGTTCAGACCTCTCTTTTCTGTTCTGGATTTTTTTTAGCAAGAATCCCTCTGAGCCTCAGGTTTCCTTATGTAGAAAATAAGATTAATACTGTCTGACTTTTGTTATGAATTTGTGCAGGTTAAATGGGATCATAGATTTAAAAGCATTTTGTAAATTATATAATGTGATAATTCATATGTATGTCTCATACATTGTAGTTAGACAGAAAAAGTTGTCTTAATACATGCTAATTTGAGAAGCTTTGTAAATGGATCATTTGCCTATAAGAGTTTGAGAACATTTTCTTTTTACTGTAGAACATATTACGTACACAAAATTAGAGTATCTGAGAGATGATCTCCAGGGCATCAGACGGGTTTGTTTGTGTGTAATTTGCCATGTTTCCACAGAATCCACAGAAGAGGAGACCACACCTCCTTCAAATGAGTGTTATCACCACAATCACTTGTCCGCAGTAACAGTTTTGGGAATCCCTGTGGGTGACATGAACAGTGTCCCCACTTTGTAAAACCTCAAGCAATCTTGTATTAAGCTACCTTGTTCCTGAAGTAAGCATGCCTTCTCTTCTCGTTCTAGTGGCCCTGTTCCAGTGTTGGTGATGAGTCTTCTGTTCATCGCTTCTGTATTTATGTTGCACATTTGGGGCAAGTACACGCGCTCATAGATTTGCCTACATCCATCTGTCATCTGAAGAAGAAGGAAAAAAACCCAACGTATCTTGGACCAAAAGTGTAGTGATTTTCTGTTCACGTGTATTATTTTACAGAGAACTTAGCAAGAATTGACTTTGAGAAACATTTTTTTCTATGTCTAATAAACTTTGGAACCGATTTATATGGAGATTGGTTGCTTTACTGCTAGGGCCTCAGTCTCTGCCTTCAGGTTTGCCCGTGAGAAGGTAGACAGCCTTTCTTATAGAGCTCATTCTTCGCAGGATTGACAGTTCCTCATGCAGCCATGTACTCATTCAAATCCAAGATGCTCTAATTGGCCTTGGCATGTTTTTCCCAAGGTATTTCTGTCCTGGTGATTGTCATTTTGGGTACTTGGTTTTCAAGAAGTGTGCCTTGGACCCCCATCAGGCAGATCTGCGTGTGAAGGCAGCTGGTACCGAGGGTAAGAGTCAGAGAAATCAGAAACCCAAAATCTTGGCTGAGCTATCTTCTCATTCTGTTCTTTTGTTTTGTTTTTTACTTTTTTGAGATGGGGTCTTGCTATGTAGCCCAGACTGTCTTGGAACTTGCCATCCTCCTGTCTCCACCCCTTGAGCAGGAGTACAGACGTGCCCCCACCCCCAAGGCCTGGCTCCTTTAGTCCTTTGTGTCTAAAATTGTAGGTAATGGTTTGCTTTTCTCCGAGAGTCCATCAGGGATTTCCATCCACAGATCTCATTTCTAAACCTGCTTTGAAAGAAGTAATTTGAGGAATTGGATTTATTGGTAAAATTTCATTCTCATTTTGAAAACTAAAGACTTTGTATTCGGAGACAGCATTTTTACACCAAGTCTAAATAATTCTGCCCCAAAGTAAGCTTTAAAGTTTGACCTGTGCTGTGCACTAAGTGCAAACAGCAGTTGTTGTCCCACATGACTGAGAATCACCCTAGTCAGTGCATTCCAGGAGCCAACGGCTCTGCATTGGGATGCCCGGAGAGGAAGAAGCAGCTGACTGTCCATCGAGACTGCAGTGTTGAAGAGGTGTGTAAGTCACAAAACAGGTCATGGGGCTGGCCAGATGGCCCAGGTGGGGAAAGGTGACTGCTGCCAAACCTGACGATCCGGGTTTAGTCCCTGGGACCCTCGTGGAAGGAGAGAATTGGTCCCCACAAATTGTTTTTTGACCTCCACATGAGCCATGACATGTGCATGCCCCCAAATAAATAAATAAAAATATACATTAAATACATTTAAAAAACAAATCTCGAGGCCAGAGAGATGACAGCAGTGTGTGTGCTGCTCTTGCAGAAGACCCGGTTTCCAGTCCCAGCACTCACGTCAGGTGGTTCAAGAGCACCCAACACCCTCTTCTGGCCCCCACATGCACTGCTGCCATGGGCACATACACACATAATTAAAAAATAAAAATACAATCTTTGGGCTGGAGCAATGGCTCAGTGGTTAGGAATACTTGCTGCTCTTGCAGAGGTCTTGGGTGCAGATCTCAGCATCCACATCAGGTGGCTCAATGCAGCCTGTAACTCTACAGTCACATTTCAGAGATCAAAGTATTTACATCCCACTTTTAATTACTGACATAGTGCATTGTACAAAATGATGGATGCCATTCTGCTGTTTCTATAGATGTATTGAATCATCACTGCCTTATCTTGTTCCACATCTTTGTTGGCTGGCCCCCTTCCTTTTTTCTTTTTTCTTTTTTTTTTTTTTTTTTCCGAGACAGGGTTTCTCTGTGTAGCTTTGCGCCTTTCCTGGAACTCACTCTGTAGACCAGGCTGGCCTCGAACTCACAGAGATCCGCCTGCCTCTGCCTCCCGAGTGCTGGGATTAAAGGCGTGCGCCACCACCGCCCGGCCTTTCCTAAACTCTTTTTTTCTTTTTGTCCTCTTTTCAAATAGTGTTTTATTTTATGTTACAAGTAGTCAGACCCAGAGCCTTGCACATGCTACACAGTATATCTCTTCATAGGATTTCTTTTAAAAAAGTCACATTGATTTATGTGTGTGTGTGTTCTGGGGGGGCGGTGAGGGGCGCTATTGTATGACGTGGCATACATGTGGAGATCAAGAGACAGCTTGCTGGAGTCGATTCTTTCTACCATGTGTGTTCTGGGGATGGAACTCTGGTCATCAGGCTTGGCAGCAAGCTCCCTTACTCATGGCGCCATCTTTACCAGTGCCATGAAAAATTTCTTAAGGTGACATATCAGTGAGTTTATGCTTGTAAGTCTTAACAAAGGGGAAAAAAAAACATTTCACTTGAAAAAATGCACAGAAAAACTGGTTTTCTTGGATTCTGTGAATATCTGATTGCATTAAATAGGTGTTTTTATTTTTGAAACACAGAAAACAGTCTGATTCATTTGGAAAAAGACAACAATATCCATAGTGGAATTCTACCCTGCCCCCCTCCCCCTCTCCCCACCCCCTCTCCCCCATAGCCAGCTAGAGGTACCAAATAAAGCTAAAAGTTATGACTTTAATTTGGAAAAGAAATTTGTTTATCAGTGTGTGTCTATGTGTCTGTGTGTCTCTCTGTCTGTCTCTGGGGCAGATAGATGCTGCAGCCACACAGGGTGCTCTTGTTGCCGCTTTGGCCTGTCTAGCCTGGTCTGCAGTGGTAGCCGAAAGCTGCTTGCTTTCTGAGCCAGTGAGTTGTAAGGTGCTAGCTCTCACTGGCAGGATGGAGGATGCTTCAGTCAGCAGAAGGAAAGGAAGAGAACTTGGGAGTTGGACGTAAAGATGTGCAGCATTTATTCTGTAACTGTCTTGGCTCTGCGGTACAATGCTAATACCGTTGCTGAGAAACACAGTGTTCAAGCTGTTCCGTTCTTTTTTATCAAAAAAAAATTTTTTTTGCGTGACAAAACACACATAATATAAAATTTATCATCTTAACCATTTTCAACTTATTATTTAGTGGTATTCAGTATATTCATATGGTAGGATGCTCACCCCATCCACCTCCCAAACTCATCACTTGCAAAACTGCCCTCCTCTTCATGGTGTGACTGTGCTTCCTACAGGTAGAGTCACACAGCATTTGTCTTGTTTGTGACCTTATTTTGATTGATGTAATGTCCTCCACATACTGCATCATTTGTCAGAATTCTCTTCTTTCTAGGCAGAAAGATAATTTTATCATATTTGTGTATCATTTCTTTTAAAATAAATTATTGTTTCCTATGAGCTATTACTAATGTGTGTGTGTTTGTGTGTGTGTGTGTGTGTGTGTGTGTGTGTGTGTGTGTGTGTGTGTATGTATTTTAGACCAGGGCTCCCTCTGTAGTGTAGGCTAACCTGGAACTCTTGATCCTTCTGCCTCAGTCTCCCAAACAGGCATGTGCCACTATGCCTGGCTTTTATTTGTAGCACTCCTAAAATCCTAACACATTAGTTCTTGAGTTAAGATTCTCTTGGCCCAGAGAAGCTTCCAGGACCCTTGACATGGGCTGTAATTTTAACTGCTTTTGATGGCGGCAGCAGCAGCAAAATGAACTGCTGTCACCAGCTCAGGCTGACCTTTCTAAGTCCTTAGAGAATCCATGTTAGGGACAGTGTCAGACTTCCTGAAACTAGTTGGGAATGGGACATCTTGGGGTCCTAGTGTTGACTCCAAACAGTGAGACTGGGATGATCACAGCTATGTGCCCAGGGGGCTAAAACTCTTCTGTTTCCATGCCCATCCTATTCTAGATTCCAAGTGCCAGGACTCCACAGGAAAAGTTGAATAAGACATTCTGAAATCATGCAAATATTGTCACCAGATTGAAATAGCTGAAGATGTCTACAACCCTGGGCTGCATCCACCAGGAAGGACTGTACAGCCTGTGGAGCCTATGAGTGCAGAGAACATGCTCCTATTCATGACAGGGTGTTGCATAGCTCTGGATGGAACTCAATGTAGACTAGGCTAGCCTCTCAGAGATCTGATTGCCTCTACCTCTCAAGTGTTAGGGATTAAGCGCATGCTTCACTATGTTTGGTTGACAGCACACTCTTGATTCCCACAAAGATATTCCTTGGGAACTTTAGAGCCAGGAAAGGTAGGTCCAGGGCAGGACTAATGTGACTCTGGTGTACTGCTGGTGCTTAAAACTTGCTGCACCCCATCTTTGAGGCATAGAAACACTACTACCACATAGCAACAGATGTGGGCATTTTGTTTTCCTCCTCTGGGTCTCCTTTTGTATGGGTAATTACAGATAGAATAACTTCACCAGCTAGTAAGTTTTCATGGGCAGAAAGTAACAGTGTCTTGTGGGTTAGCTAACCGTCGAATACTTAGCCATATGGTTTTTTTTAATTAACATTTGAGGTCGCTGGGCTAAGATAATCAATGAGAGGGCAGAACAGCAAGGCAATAAAGGCGTGGGTAGACAGGAAGTAACTCACATTTGGAAACTGCAGAGTTGGTGAGGTAAGATTGGCTGGTGGCTATTCCTATTTCCCTGATCTCTCTAAGGCTTTCACCCCTATATTTGGCTCTGTGTTTTTTATTTAGCAAGACCATTTGGAAATTTGTCTACATTTGGTGCCCAGTGTGGGGCAGAAATTCATAAAAAAAAAAAAAAAACAAAGTAACAACAACAACAAAAAAAACACTTGCCTGTGGCCTTGCAGGCCCCAGCTCCTCCGGAGCTGAATGCTGCACTTGGCTAGAGCTGCAAGCAGCTGGAGTTACACAAGGCTGGGCTGCTGTGGGCTTACAGAGCCCCTGGCTCAGGCCTGGTTGCACAGCTCGGGCCGGGGCACATGGCTGGAATCTCTTTGGCTTTCCTCTGATCTCCAGGCAAGCTTTATTAAAACACAAATAAAATATCACCACAAACAGTTGTTTTTCATGTGTGTACATGTTTGCAGGTGTGTGTATGCAGAGGCCGAGGTTGGCATCAGGTGTCTTCCTCCACTTCATCATGGGTGTTGAGTAAGGGTCTCTGTGTTTCCAGCGCGGACGGCTTTCTCAGGGCTGCACTGAGATCCTTGTAAACCTGTGGTCAGCAGCAGGCTTCCGGGAAGGGAGCGTGTGCACTGGGAGTGGATTCACTTTGGCGGGGGTGGTAATAGTGGGCAGTGTGAATCAGCAGGCTGGGAATAGTGGATGGTGTTTATCAGAAAGGGAAGGGTGAGGACAGCAGGATTAGTAAAAGGGAA